ACATATTAACACATTGCCTTTTTTTTTTAGGGGTGGGGATGAGGAGTGAAGTAAAAAACCTCATGTTTGTAGCATCCAGGGCTTTGGAGGCATCTTCTTGTGTGTCGTATTGCACAAAAGCAAAATTCCTTCTGATTCTTACACTTACTATTTTACCATATGGCTCAAAGTGCCTTTCCAAGTCCCTTGTCCTTGTATGATATGGATCAAAGTTAATGACAAACAGGGTTTTTGAAGGTCTCATATTGCCTGAAGATCTTCTTGAACCCCCCCCACCACCACCAGCACTACCACCACCACCACCAACACTACCACCACCACCAGGCCTTCTAATGCCACGTTCATGCTACAAGAAAAAAAAAATTAAATAAGCTACAAGAAAAAATTTGTTGAAATAAGCTACAAGAAAAAAAATTAAATGAAAAAAAAACGGAAGTTGTCAAATCAAACAGTCATTTATACCAGCTTTAGTACCTTTGTCCACTCAACACGAAGCCTACGACCCTTTCGACCAAATTCTGCACGATCAAGTGCTCGAATAGCATACTCAGCATCTCTTTCATCTTCCATGTAGACGAAAGCAAAACCTAGGTAAAAGCAAAGAATTTTAATACATGCTTGAAAATATCAAGGAAAGTATTAAGTTAAGAATCCTCCCGTGAAGGTAATCACCAAAGCGAAGATGGTCCTTCCTTCTTCAGCATCATACATTCGACCTAACATCCTCAACTAGGACAATAATTTCGCAACCTTCCTAAAAGCTATAAACTAATTGACCAGCAAAAGTAGCAACAGACCTTGTGTGATGAACTAAGTGATGTCAAGGAACAAGAATCCAAAAGTGGATGTCTCATGGAAGGTCAATGATTATAGAGTGCCTTCTCCATCTATTCTGTTGCCTCTGCTGTGAGGTTGGCAATGTTTCTACCTTGAAACATGTCTGAAATTGAAGGCTGGGACAAAGTCATGAGGAATGGAATGCAATAATGTCTGAGGAAAATGAGGGATGGTAGTGCCATTGCGCATGAGAGGACTCTTCTTGCAAGCAAGAAGAGGATGCTCGTCACAGGCAGGAAACAAAATTCTGAAGAGTCCATCCATTGGGCCGGGAAGAGTATGAATACCCCAAGAAAATCCTGCGCCAAAGAAAATGTTGAGTATGGGGTCTTATGCTTCAAAAAAAGTTTGTTTCTTTCTCTTAAACATATCCCGAACCCCCAGTAGAACTCAACAAGGGATGATTGCTGTGGAAAATCGCATATCTGATTAATGTTCCTGTCACCATGCCAAAATGCCCAGTGCAATTGAAAGCCGCCACCTTCATGTGTGGGATATCGCGGTACGGAATGGTCTACTTGCTGCATGATTTTCTGTCGCCTTCATGTGAACGTGTCCCATTTATTTATTTTATAGTTCTCTAAATATAATTGTCCAAAAAATCATTGCATATTACAGATGGAACTCGAAAGTTGATTTTTTAAATTGAGGATTTTTTCACAGATTCATCCATACAAGACACTTAAAAAAAAACATAAATGATGAAGATTTGATGTCACGACAGATGCCAAGTCAGATAGTATAGAGCTGATCACAAATCAAAGTATGGCCACTGCTGACTACAAACTCTTTACCTCCCTAATATCCTTAGTAATAAATTTCTCTCCAAAACTTTAGTCAGACATCAGGCTATTTTAAAAAATATCCTGCAAATCTTCTGCAGGAACCAAACTTAATTTGTACTTGTCAAAACTAAGAACAACATGCATCTCAGAATTTTGAAACCTGCTGTACTGGAATTAAAGCTTCAGGCTCTTATCGTATTTTCTTAAAAAAAAAATAGTATCCATAAATCTCAGATGGAAGCTGCAAAGATCATTTAAAAAGCATATAATAACACCAAAATAAATAGAGAAGGAAGCTATTAATGTTACATAGACTTGTTGACCAAAAACAAACAGATAAAACCAGCACCAGAACTTACCAGACTTCATATCCACTCTATCAACCTTCCCATACTTTTTGAAAAGTCTCTCCAGATCAGACTGACGCGCATCATACTCAAAGTTTCCACAGAAAATGGACCTCATAGTACCTGCACATATGACATACCGATTCCTTACCATATTTATGATGGACATGAACACTTCAAGTAAGATAAGTGAAAACAAAAGGACTAGTTTAATGCTACTTGGACTTGGTTAGAGGTGTTGAATGTGAATACAAGTGTTTGTGTCTATTTCTGGAAATTTTATAACTGACTGAAATACCATGCATATGCAAATAATTCTACATATTCTGAGTACAACTAATCAACCTGTAGCTAAACAACTAAATCTTTTAACTCAAATTGCCGAGAAAACTGTTTATAAACTAAGAGTTCTCAAGAGGGGGAACGGGAGCTACAATACCTTAGCCAATTGAAGGGAAATCCAATGTAGGGACATCCAATGTGAATTTTCATTGTGTAAAAGAGAAGCAAAAGTCTCAAAAATTTTAACTTGGTGACTGAAAGCGGGATAACAAAGGTCATAAGGTAACCACAACTGCCTCAGTATCTTTTCCTCCGTCAATGTTATTTATACTGGAAAATACTTCCTAAAGAAATTATAACATTAACTTGCTGTGTTAAGCAAAAGAATACACATAGGACATCCTTATTCTTTTCAATTCACAAGGAAAGAAATATCTTTCATTTAGAAACTCAATCGTTTCTGAAACACACCCCCAAATTCATGTTCAACCAAGTTTTTCCAGTAAAAAATCATCTGATGAGAAATATAAGACCACGGTTTATCTGTTAATCATTCATTTTAAAAAATTATTAATCTCAAACATGACCTAACAGTATAAATATTAAACTCAATCACTAAAACGAGAATCTCAACAGAATTCAACGCTTCATAATCCTCACACTTCATCCAATTTCGAACGAATCTGTTCATCTACCCACAATACTCCATTTAACAGTATCAAAATGAAAAGGAAATGGGAAATATAAAAATTTGCAATGACCTAATTCACAGCAAGAACATAATAACAACAAAAAAAATTAAAACCCAGAAAACATGTAACTAAAAAGCTGATCAGAGCCACCGACAGCATTACAAAACCAATATACGACTTGTTTAGACTCATTCGTATTCATATTAACACTGACCAGAAAAATATAAATGATCTTCACAGATACGTCATCTTCATAGAACAATCAAAATATAACCAAAACAAATCACATGAACTCAAAATCAGTACTATATCAGATCGAATCTTGTTCATTCAAGACCACAATTTTAGAATTCAGAGATTTATACTTATACCAACATACCTCAAACCTTTAAATTAAATCACAATATAGCGTCAAACCCATCATAACCATACACAAAGAGAGAGTAAAACAACACCTATACTTGCTCTTGTAATGTACTCATATTATACATTCATGTCAATAAAACGAAAGAGAGAAACACCCAAAGACCCATCACCTAGAATGATTCCATCGCCCCAATAAAATCAAAATCCACTTCGAAACAACCAGATTTTCCTTGGGCATTTCTCAAAATATTCTTTTTTCTTTAGATAAGCATTTCTCAAAATATTCAAAGCAAGCATATGTTTATTCCATGGAAAGATCTGTCAAGAGAAAGATACCTGCCTGAAGAAGAAACTAACTTCCTATTCCGGAAACGTCTCAGTAAGGGAAGACCTTCGAGGGCACGCGGATGGAGATGATCTGGAATGCGCGGAGGCTGCCGTGAAGAAAATAGATAGGTTTCAGGTACGCCTTTCAGTAATTAACTGATGGAATCCTCAGTCTGCGCTTAGAGATAACAAGATGGAGGAAAAGAAGCCTACTGAGTCCTCTCGGCTTGTGCGACTAATGACGCTTATAGCCGTCGGAAGAAACCGAACAGCCTGATTTCTGTTGGTAAGAAGGAGATCAGAGATTTCGTTGGGTTTCCTATGAGTCTGTAACTGTTTGAAGATAAGGAGGTGATGGAGATCTAGAATCCTTGGCGGTCAAAGGAGCGGAAGGAAAGGGAACAGGATTAGGGGTTCGTTTTGGGTGAAGAAGAAACCTGGATCCGAGAATCCTAAAAGAGAAGGGAGAGAAAGATGAAAATGATGAAAGAAAGGAATCTGTAGAAGAGAGGAAAGAGAGGGAACGGCTGCCGCTGTGTGCGAAGGGAAGAAGAAGATTATTTTATACCTAGGGTTTACGTTTGGTGGAGAGGAAACAGAGGGGTTGGGCTTTTAGAAATAGAATTTGGTATATACTAATAGGATTTGGGCTTCAAACCAAAAATGAACCTGTGTTTTTTTTATTTTTATTTTTTTGAAATATATTTTAATTTATATTTAAAGTATGAATTAATTGATACTTAATTTGACACTTTTTTTATCGCTTTATTTAATTTATATTTTTTAAATTTATCCATCTTCTCCTCTTTTTTACTTTATTTTCTCTTTTTTTTTACCAAAAATCGATTAAGAAAATAAAAAATAGTGAAATTTACATTTAAATTGTAAAATATATAAAAATAATAATGAAAAATTAAAGCAATCTACATTGAGTAATTACTTGAGAACAAATTTAGCTAAAATCTCAAATTTATTTGAAATTCATCAAAAATATTTTTAGCATATATCAAGCATTTTTATAAATTTTAAACGAATCTAAAATGATTAATAATAAAATAGAATACTAGTTTATATTATTTTAAAAACTTTTAAAATAATAAAAAAAATTTAATATTGACGAAATAATAAATTATTTTAAATTTTTAATAAAATTTCGATATTGAATACTTATAAAAAAATAATTGAATTGAATGACTCGGATAACTTATTATTAGCATTGATGAGAAACAAAGACAAGATGGGCAAAGAATAATGGAACAAAAAAACTTGATTCTTGAACAAATAAGATGAATTTATAACGAAACTGAGAATGAAAAGAGATTATATAGTTCCAAAGTATTCATCAATTTAGAACCATATCAGACTTGAACATAATTATACTCTTTTTCATGATTATTCAATATGAAGATTGTATTACCAAATCCAGATTTAGACAGAATTTGAGAGAATTTTATGTTTAAATAAATTCAAATATATTAATTCAAATAAATAAATATATAAACTTG